TCCTTTTGTATCGAACGGCTCGGATAGGTCCTTCTCGATCCTAATGGAGCTTTTTGTGTTGCTTATCGTCAGATTACATAGCCGTATTAGTTTTGCGGGGATACCTAAATTAGACATCTCGGCATAAAGGCAGCCACTTTTCGTGCTGTCGAAAGCAGCTTTGAAGTCGATTCTCTTTAGGAGGCTTATCCCACGGTAGTTGGCGCAGATTGTGGGCGCACCCTTTTTGTGGATTGGACAGGGCACACTTCAATTGCAGTCGTTGGGCATGCTTCCTTCCGATCATATTTTGCAAAGAAGCTAATGCATGCTCTTAGCTGTCGTGTATGAATAGCTGGCGTTATGCATTCACTGCCACTCAGCAGACTGGAAAAGTGTTCCCTCCATAATTTTAACATAGTCTGGGCATCAGTTAGTAGATGACCTCGGTGAGTTCCACAAGAGTATGCGATGGTCTTGAAACCTTCTTTAAGTCGACGCATTTTTTTCTAGAATTTTCGAGCATTAACCCTGTCGGCCAGCTTATCAAGCTCATCTTACTCACGCATTTCGGCCTCTTTCTTTTCCTGTCTGCAAATGCGTCTCGCTTCCCTCTTCAACTCTCGGTATCTATCCCATCCCGCACGTGTTGTAGTCGATCGTAACGTCGCGAAGTAGGCAGAATGTTTTCTCTCCGCTGCGACACAGCACTCTCCCTCATACCAGCTGTTCTTTTGCACTTTCCGAAAACCCATGGTTTCGGTTGCAGCTGTACGTAAGGAGTTTGAAATGCCGTTCCACAATTCCCTTATACCGAGTTGCTGACGAGTGCACTCAGAGAGCAAGAGTGCGAGCCGAGTAGAAAATCTTTCGGCTGTCTGTTGTGGTTGCAGCTTCTCGACGTCGAGACTTCCTTATATTTGTTGACGTGCTATTCTTGCTTTACAGTGGCGGCAAATCTTAGCTGCAACAAGATAGTGGTCCGAATCGATGTTAGGACCGTGAAGAGTACGCACGTCTAGAACACTGGAAACGTTTCTTCCATTTATCACAACATCATCGACCTGGTTGGTGAATTTTCGATTCTTAGACAGCCAGGTAGCTTGATGTATTTTCTTATGCTTGAATTTAGTACTACAGATAACCATATTTCGGGCCCGGGTGAAATCGGTCAGCCTTAACCCATTTGGGGACGTTTCATCGTAGAGGCTGAATTTACGACCGTAGTTCCAAAAGTAAGCACGATTTTGATATCATCATTGGTCACATCGGCCTTCTCTTCCGTCGAGGCGTGGGCGCAAATCAGCAATATGTTGAAGAACCTCGCTTTGATGCGGATTGTGGCTAGACGTTCATCCACCGGAGTGAATGATAGTAATCGACGACGGAGTCTCTCTCCCACAACGAATTCGATATAAAACTCCTTTTTATGGCCACTGTAATAAATTCTCACTTTTGTTCTCCTTCAAACGTCATAGATTTTTCCTTACCTGCGTGACCTTCTACACATGACTCCATCCTCCTACCGTTCACACAGAAAGTAAGTATTTTTCTTTAAACGGAGCGACTGCTTCATCGACATACCCCGACACTTTTGCTTCCTTCGAGCCGTGTTATTTAATAATACCCAACGAATACCCTTCTCCCGCCCAACTGACGCGAGGGGCGCAATCCGCGAACGAGCGGAATTAGCCGAGTCATAAAAGGGAAGGGAGCTTTAAGCGTTGCAATCTTAAGCTGCTCAGCTACAGAAACAAAAATTTCAACAGCCAAAATCAAGAATTAAATTAAAGTTTATAATTTTTAAATGGTTCTTGTTAAGAGTAGATAAAATAATTTTTTTAATGAGTGAATCTGTTAGATCAAATGCGCTGGAATAAGAATTGAAATCATGACATATGCGGCGAAATTGTTCGTTTAGCTCAAAACTTGTTCTAGAAATTTTAAAAGTAAGGGGTCTAAACTGCCTTGTAGAGCGAGCGGGAATGTTAAAATTAATATCAGATAAAAGAGAAGGGCTACAGACTGACCCATTCATTAGTTTTACAAGAAATATTATACCAAGCATCTTCCGACGACTAACGAATGTTGGGAGATTTATAAGTTTAGTTTAGTGTTTGGGGGGAAGATTTAAACTGGAATCCCAATGCAAATGATTTAAGGCAAAACGTAAAAATAGTTTTTGAACGGACTCTATTTTCTCAGAATGAACTTGATAACAAGGGTTCCACCACGGAAGCATACTCCAATATAGGCCTCACCGAAGATGTTAAAAGAATTTTTGTGGTAAGCGGATCACTAAATTCTTTAGACCAACGTTTAACAAAACCAAGAGCACCTTTAGCTTTAAAAACCATGGAAGATGTGTGAGGATTAAAATTGAGTTTGGGGTCCATAGTTACTCCCAAGTCAACAAAACTRCATACTTGCTCCAACCTAAAGTTTTGTGTTACGTATGAAGTAGGGTCTACAGATCTCCGTGAAAAGCACATCGTTTTACATTTCTTAAGGTTCAATGGCATGTCATTTCTAACACACAAAGAAGCTAGGTTGTTTAAGTCTGTTTGCAACTGACATCTGTCACTATTTGAAGGGAATGGTTTAAAAAGTTTTACATCATCAGCATATAATAAAACTTTTGAAAACTTAACAACAGATGATATGTCATTAACAAATAACGAGAACAGAATTGGTCCAAGATGGCTACCTTGAGGAACGCCTGAAGGAACATTGATTATGTCGGAAAGAGTATCGCTAAATATGACTTGTTGAATTCTAGTACTAAGATAAGAAGCAACCCATTTTAGAAATATTGGTTGAAAACCATGAAGATCAAGTTTATTCAAAAGAATTGAATGGTTTACTTTTTCAAAAGCTTTACTAAAATCTGTGTATGTAACATCGGTATTCTTATTCTCCCTAAAGCCCGTTGATACATGTGATACAAATTCCAGCAAATTAGTTATTGTAGATTTCCCTTTACGAAAACCGTGCTGAGAA